GGCCCCAAACAAACAGAACTCTAAGAGATGCATGTACATTGAAATGATTGCCTGTAAACTGTTATTTTTAGAAACAGATTGTATACAGTGGGTTATATTGCAGTGATGTGTTTTTAAATTGCTGATTTGTGTTGTTCTTGCAATTTTGACATCTCTATTTAACTTTAATTATATAATTGGTGAATCATACAATAAATAGGATGATAAAATAACCCAATTGTTAACTTCTAAACTTTCCTTTGGACAAGTGATTAAAAGTAAATACAAAAAGCCTAGTTGTGCATTCCTGAGTGGCATCCCCCTCCTTCTCCCCTCCCCATCCCCCATGAAAATGTCTGCAATTTAAACACACTGGAGGCAAGTCAGACTTTGAAGCAGAATAAGGTTTTCCTGATACTGGCACTTAGAAGCATTCTACCTGGGTCCAACCTGAACTGCCTTCAGAACCCTCTCTGACTGCCCAACCTAGGCAGTGAGGTTGAACCTACCTGTCGTCCTTCTGTTACCACCAACTTGATCCAGCACAGGAAAAGGGGATACTAAAACACTGCATAGCCTGTACTCAGTGCACCCCACATTTTATAGGTCTATCTTAGAACCACCACCCACCCCTGCCCACCATGTATTCAGATGCACACTGTTGCTCATATTTTAAAAAAGGCATTTTGTGATGCTGGGAAGATTGCAATTTGGGGCTGGTAGTTTAGTAGTTGATCCTGTTGGTAAATGGTATGAGGGCCAAACAGAATCCTTTGGCCCTTATAGATTGAAGCACAATAAAACCTCACTTTCTGTATGTACCCATTAACCTTAAGTTAGCTTCACCTAGGTAATCACACTGTTCATTGGCTCTGTGACAGACACACAGAAGCCTGATCATGTGGGTCTCTGTCTAACACCTTATGGTTTACAATGAGTGTTCTGATTAAAGAAGTTTCAGTTCTGGTTCATACTTGCATGTGATTTACTCTAGGAAGATTCCAGCACAGTCCTGAAAATACCCTTAGGGATAGCTTCTGCAAGTGACTTACTGCCCCAAACTATGCCCTTCATAATTGAAATGCTTGACAAAGGATAAGTTGAAACCCAAGCTCTGTGGGTTGGCTCCAAAGTCCCTTTCTAGCTCTAAACTCCACACCTCCAAAGCCAAACTCCCCATCCGGTTTCACTATTGGGAGCCTAGCCTTTCAGACTGGGTCTGCTCAGGAACAACACTTGCTTATTGGTACCTGAAAGCCTCTTTCATCTACTCCATGCCTTTTTTCCAGTGTAGAAAAGGATGGTGGCTCTGGCAGACTCAGAAGTTTGGAGGGGTGCGAAGATGCATTATCAACAGGACACATTCCTCAGGTGGTTTACCATCACAATGAGGTGGGGGCAGGAGGAGAGAGCTAACACAATGCTCCTTATCTTGTTAGTGTGGGGAAGTGATCAGGATTCTTGGGGGGGGGGTTTGCAAAATTTTCTGTATGCCAGTAAAATTTACTGTCTTAAAGCATAAAACTGGAAGAAAGTGGTTTGCTAGTAAATGTTTTAAAGAGGATGCCTGTTTTGCAGCATTTGCTTCCTCTGTGGTGAAAATCCTCTGACCATGACCAATCTCAAGCTACCACTGTTATGTCACTGAATGCCAGGTTGTGATAAGATGCGCAGAGTTGGTGAGCTCCAGCACATTGCTGGGAGGAGGCCAGCTTTGCCCTGTGCATCTCTTATTTAGGATACTACAAGACAGATTTAGGAGAATAAAAAACCTCATCCTCTTATGCTGGACTTGATTGGGGTGAAAGACTACAGATCACTCTGAACCTTGCTGCTTCTCCATCTCTTCCTTTGAGTTCTACCTTTCTTTTTTTGTTGTTGTTTTTGTGTTTTTGTTTTTTTGGTGGTGCTGGGGATTGAACCCAGGGCGTTGTGTTTGATAGTTGGCTTATAATCCATAACAGGTGACTCTAAGTTTTTGCAGGAGGAATTCCCTTACAGCCCCAGTGCTCAGAGTCTGAAATGCAGGAATATTTTTGTCATCCCCTCTAAGAAGGACAATGAAGGCACGGGAGCTCCCATACCACCCCACCAAATTTAGGTAATACAGACAGTCAAAGGAGGCCTTGGCCATTATTAAGATTGGTCATTCTCAAACTATTCCCTGAAAGAAGAGTTGTGGAAAGCAATTAACTCTAGAGTAAAAAAACAGGAGAGGAAACAGGTCTTCTGAGTGGGGTGTGTGTGTGTGTGTGTGTGTGTGTGTGTGTAGGAGAGAAAGAGAAACAGAGATAGAGAGAGATTTTCAGAATGACAGACATGCAGGATCCCTGATGGAGGAAGAGCAACAGAATCAATGTCAGGAACTCTGTCTCTGCTGAGTCCTAACCCCAGACCCTGTTGGCCTCTACTCCTAGCTTTATAATATTGGGCAACTCAAGGTTTCTTCAGGGAGATTGGCCAGAAAATGTTTCTCTTTCTGTGGGCTGCAGAGTTCAAAACCTACGGAGGTAGCCTAGAGACGAAGCTTCTGGCATCTCAATTGCCAGCCATAGTTTGAATGAGGGACTCCTATGAAGCCTGAATAATAAGTCTCTTCAAGACTCCATAATGTCCCAGACCAAAAGGCGAGAGTGTGTGGTATTCTCACCCACACAGCCCAGGCAGGACCTTCTCAGGCTTCCAAGGCCAAATGGTGGGGGGGGGGGAGTGGATTCTGAGCTCTAGATTCAGGCTGCTTTCCAAAAGTACAAGCTTGTGCCTAAGAACTTGCAAAGAGCTGGGGGATCTTCTGTCGTCTTCTTTCCACATTACTAACTGCATTTGATTGGTGCCTTTCTATTTTATGAAGCACTTTCATAGTTTTTTTTCCCTTTTTTTTTTCAGTCTGGTCGTATCATTCTACCTATTCAATGCAGAAGCAGCATAGAGTAGTGATTCAGAATATGGGAATCTATGCCCAGACAATTTAGGTCTGAATCCTAGCTCTGCCACTTGTTAGCTGTTTGGCCCTTGAGAAATTTGCTTAATGGCCCTGTGTTTCAGTATGTTCGTCTGTAAAATGGAGCTGAAAATGATAGCTACTCTATAACGTTGCTATGGAAATTAAATGAGTTCAGATTTATAAAGTACTATTATAGTGATTTTTATATAAATATTTTGAAAATCAATCATCACCGATACTTTCACTCTGACAGATAATAACTGTCACTACTCTGTTCCAAACAAACATCAAATTTGTCCAATTTTGCCTCTCCATATTTTGGAAACCCTTGTTCCCCTTTCTTTCTCCATTAACACCGCCCTGGTTTAGACATATAGTAACAGCAAACTGCTTGCAGTTCTGCGCAAACATACTGTCGTGCCTTTCTTGCTGGCCGTTCCTACTGCAGTCCTCTTTGACTCTCAAGGCACCTCCTTCTCTGGCTGTCTCCTACTCATTCTCTATCACCAGTTATCCTTAGACTGCAGACTCTTGAGAAGGAACCGGCATCCTCTCTGAATTGTCAGCATCCAAAACAATGCCTGCCACAAAGAAATTACAAACTTGTTGAATTAATGACTGCTTGCTGTGACTCAGGCCCTATGGTAGTGGTTTAGAGGGCAGTTTTTATTCCATCCGACCCAAAACCCTACAAGATAGTAAGTACAATTTTTATCTTCATTTTACAAACAAGCAAATGAAGCTTGGAGAAGTAAAATAACTTGCCCAGAAACACATATTTATATTCATATGGCTATTCTAATCAGTACACAATAATCTACAGTGCATAATGGTATGTGGGAGAATGCCAGGAAGCCACAATTGGTGTCACCTGATGCATGAAGATACATTGTTCAACTGGCACATTAAAAAAGCCCTACTTTATTTTTCACATAGTTTTCTGATATTTTTAAGCTATTTTTTTGAAGCAGGAGCAGTTATTTATTTATTTATTTATGGTGCTGCTGGGGATTGAACCCAGGGCCTTATGTGTGCTAGGCAAGAGCTCTGCCAACAGAGTTACATCCCCAGCCCCAAATTAAGGTATTTTTCACTAGATAACCTATAATCTTTTATGAAGGTTAAAAAAGGCACATGCATATAAAGAAATGTTTGACTATTTTTTAACCCATTGGTTTGTGAGGTGCATATTGCTTACCAATTGGTCTGTGAGTCCATTGGAGTTTAATCCTATCACATGTTATATGTCAAGAGGTTTTGGTTAGTGCCTCATCCATACATTATCATGTTAAAAGGTATTTCATGCTCAACAATTCATGAAAGTTTGTTCTATATTATCAAACTCATGTTGCTCTAAGAAAGTTGAGGAAGGCTTTGCAGATTAACAATGCTTACTACTATTAGTAGCAGCAACAGCTACCATTTAGTAAGTACCTACTGTGCTGGACCTACTCTGTTGTGAGTTTTACTTATGTTATCTCATTAAAGTCTTATGAACTAGGCTGTCTTGTCTTATTTTAAAAACAGGGAAACTGGGATTCAGAGAATGTAATTCACTTGCTTGAGGTCACACAGCTATTGAATGTGGAACCTGAACTGAAATCTAAATTTGTATGTCTCTAAAGCCTGGGCTTTTATCCCAAGCTGGACTTTGAAGATTGTCCAAGTTACTTAACCCTCTCTGAGCTTCAGTTTCCTCATCTGTAAAACTGAGGGAAGAAACACTTATCTTGCAGGGTTGTTGGGAAGTTTAGAGATAAACAGATGCTCAGGGGTCGTGGGCACATAGTAGGCATTTAAACCACGGTAGCGATGTTTCTGAACCCATGGGGCGCTAAATGAGCCCAGGAATATCTGAGAGCCCTTTAATGGCAATTGAGAGCTGGTGAGGAGGATCTACAGCTCTGGCTGACTTAAGAGCTGGCCATCTCCCCCTCCAGGATATGGTGACCCAATGAGACTCTGAGCGACAGGCAGGGGGCAGGGGCCTGAGTTTGGCTGGGCAACCTCTGCAGGGAGTCAGCAGAGAGGCGGGGAGCTGGGAGGGGCGTATATATTTCGGTCGTCAGAGGACTGCAGGTGCTAGGCAGAGTTGGTGGAGGTGGGCTCGCGGAGCCCAGTGAAAGAGGTGCGGAGGCTGGGGCGGGCCAGCAGCGGGCGGGGGAGAGGGGAGGCGGGGCTCGGAGCCTGAGAGGCTGTCCTTAGACAGCTCTTCTCATGCCGGGCAGTTTGCTGCATCTGGAGGAGCTCACTGGAGAATCTCCAACATCGGAGCGGGCCTTCAACTACCGTAAGTACCTGCAAATGAGCGCATAGTCCAGTGGCTGAAGATTAATTACTGGCCACCAGATCCTAAACAAAACCCCGAAAGAGTCTCCCTACTGTAATTAATTGCTGTAAACTGCTCCTCAGTTTGTCCCCCTACCCCCTTCATCCCTGCCTTTCTCCTTCCCTCCCCGGATCCCAGCCGTGCCTCGCTGAGAATCTCTGGGCACTGTAGATATCTTCCCTTTTCCTTCTCAGTCTTCCCTCCCAACCCTCAGCGGAGCATGCAACCGGCACCCCGCCGAGCCCAACCCCTTTGATTGCTGGAGCCCTCAAAGCTATGCAGGGGGCGAGCCATTAGAAATTTCGGGTATGTCACCCTCAAAAGCACTGCGGTGCTGCCTAAGGGTGGGGGGAAAGTGCTTGGGGTGGAGTAGAAAGAGAGGGTAAAATGGTTAAACAGCCCAAGTTGGGGGTGGGGGTGGGGGTGGGGGTGTGAAAGGGCAAAAATGGGCGTGGCCAATTAACCTGAAGCTTAGGGCTGTTGCCACGTTCCCTGAGCATAAGATTAATCATTTTGGCTCGATATAAATGATATAGTTTCCTTAGAGATTGAGGAATGGTCAATTATTCTGAGAAGCCCAGGAATCGAAGACCCTGATTTGGGGGTCCACGTGTTAAGGCTGGAGCCTCAGATGGCATTTCCTGGGTAGAATCCCAGGTCAAACCTTTCCCTTGGCAGTAGAACCTGGCTTCCTCCAATAGATCCTGGCCCAGTGCCCCAGGGGAACAAAGCAACAGGGTGGCATCCAAGCCTTGGCCTGGCCCTCAAAAGTGGGGACAAGGGGCTGTAGGAACTGAGAGAGGAAGAGCATCTTCAGGGTCCTACACCATTTGGACATCCCCTTTGTAAAGAAGAAAAAAAATAATCACCTTTTAACACAAAATGTCCACTATGTGCTGACACTATATGTATATTCTCTAATCTACCACAATAGCAATACTAGGTAGATATTATTCCCCCATTTAACAGGTAAGAAAAGTTCAGAGAGGGTAAATTAAGCCTCCTTCAATACAAAGTGAGAAATAAAAAACAAAGCACTGCCTTCTTGGATCTCTCACTGTCCACCTAGTCTCTAGTCCAGAGGTTTTGAAAAAGAATCTTCCTCTCTTCCTGTTCCTCCATTCTGCTCAATGTCAGCACTGGACCAAGTTAGAGGCTGAGGTCCCAGGGTCAGTTGGAAAAGCAAAATTAGTCCCTTTCTCTGTTCTGGAGCCACCACTACCCTACTCCACTGAGTTCTGATTAAACAGCAGGAGACCTCAGACTCTGAATAGAAATTTAGTAGAGGAGAATTAGCCTGAGTTTGTGGGGGTGGGTACACAACTTCTGCTTGGTGAAGTTTACTCTTGGGGAAGGGGAGAGACACAAAGGCTTAGGGGTTCACCTTATGCAGGGCCTGTAGTCCATGATGACTTCGGGAAAAATCAGAAGGCCTCCCTGCACTCAAATATCCTTGTGGTATTTCCTGAAATTTCTAACACTTCCATTTTCCTTAGGGCAGTGATAAAAACTGCTTAGAAGTTATGGGTGGGCAATGAATCATTTATACCTTATATTAATTAAGTGTAATCAGCTTTATTTTCCTACTTAAGGTGGGAGTATTGAGAATTGGGGGGTAAAAGATAAGAATGAGAAGAGAATGTCTTCATAACATGAGGTTGGAGGGTTGAGGGAGGATGAGAGGGGAGCATAGGCCTTGAAGTTAAACATGGATTTGAATTTTGGCTTGAATATTTAGTAACTTTTGACTTTGATGAATGAATAACGTCATTTTCCTTATCAACCAAATGGGGATGGTAGTAATGCTTTTTTTGCTAAGTTGTTGGAGAGAGAGAGAGAGAGAGAGAGAGTGTGTCTGAACAAAGGATCTGAAAAGGTGACTATATCTCCCATCTCCTTCATTCCATGGGGCTTCTGCAGGCTTACATTAGGCCACCTTCTGAGCCTCTGAGATCCCAGGGACAAGTAGAAATTTCTACAAAAATGACATTTTACATACAAACAGAGGCCTTCAGTGAGGAGATGGGGAAGTGAAAAATAAGGGCAAGGAGAGGATGAAGCAGGTAGCTTTGTAATATCCTGTGTGCCTGTGAGGGAGTAGAATGAAGGGTTGTTGAGTGAATTCAGTGGTTTATACTAAACTTCGAAAAGCATAACAAGTCCCCTGTGTAAAAACAGTTTTGCTTTTAGATCCTACTACATACTGAGGAGCAAAATCGGAGACTCAGGGTGCCGACCAGCACCAGAGGCCCCACAATGCAGGACAGACCAGGGGAGGGGGCCACCATGCTAAGGACATTCCTCATCTTACTCTTTTGCATTCGTGAGTACAAGGAAGGGTTGAGGGGCAAGTGACTTCGTCATAGATACCCCTGTGAGCATGTATCTCTGGGAGGGAGAGGAGAATATTAAGGTTGGAGGGAAGAGTGGGGACAGAGGGGCTCTAATTCACCATAATCTCTCTTTTTAGGGCTGAGTCTAGGGAAGACACCGATAGGTAAGTGAATCCCACCCCTCAGGTCCCTTCTTTCCCATAGGATCCAAAGACATTGTCCTGCCTGCGTGACCCTGAACATAACTGCCTTGAGATCCCAAAGATAGATGAGCTGCTTGGGAATCAGAGCCTCTCCCTTTATGCCTTGGTTTCCCACAAGGAAAAAAAAATGAAGAGCATTATCTCAGATGCAAAGGAAAGCACTGTACTCCCCAACTCATTTTTGATTCCTTGAACAAATATCCTGGGGTCCCACATAAGCAGACACTCCTGCCCCCAAGGAAAGGCAAAAGGAGGGATCTGGCTTGGAGCTAGTTTTGAGTTACATTGTGGGGTACTTTATGGGATGGAGAGGGCTGACTGCTCACATCTTTATGATCTTTGGGAACGACAGGAATGGAACCTCAACCGGAGCTGTGGATCGAGTCCAACTATCCCCAGGCTCCTTGGGAGAACATCACACTTTGGTGCAGAAGCCCCTCTCGGATATCAAGCAAATTCCTGCTGCTGAAGGATAAGACACAGATGACCTGGATCCGCCCTTCCTACAAGACCTTTCAAGTTTCATTCTTCTTAGGTGCCCTTACTGAGTCCAATACAGGTCTTTACAGGTGCTGCTACTGGAAGGAAACAGGCTGGTCAAAGCCCAGTAAAGTTCTAGAGCTAGAGGCACCAGGTAAAAAAGACAGAGATACATACTCATGAATAACCTCCAACTCCTGGGATTCAGATCCTGATTTTCCAGGGCAGGGTTTGTTTAATTCATTCATTCACTTATGTCAAATGCATGCAAGCACGCATTCCACAGTTAGTAAATAAGTACCTACTCTGTATTAGGCAATGCACGGCGGCGAGGTTATAGACTCTGGAACAGAAGTGGGGGAAGGAGGGGTAGCAAATAAGGATCATGCAGGGAAGCCTTATTTAAAGTAGAGCTCTCCTCTGCAGCTCTCCAGGCAGCACTATCCTTGTTCTACCTAATTCCAGTTCATTTTTTTTTCTTTCAGGCCAGCTACCTAAGCCCATCTTTTGGATCCAGGCTGAGACCCCACCTCTTCCTGGATGCAATGTTAACATCCTCTGCCATGGCTGGCTGCAGGATTTGGTGTTCATGCTGTTTAAAGAGGGATACGCAGAGCCGGTGGATTACCAAGTCCCAACCGGGACAATGGCCATATTCTCCATTGACAACATGACACCTGAGAACGAAGGGGTTTACATCTGCCGCACTCACATCCAGATGCTCCCCACTCTGTGGTCAGAGCCCAGCAACCCCCTGAAGCTGGTTGTAGCAGGTGGGTGTGGCCATGGCTGCTGGCATCTTACAATTATTATCCCAGGGATTATGGCTGGTTGAGCCAGGGTTTCTGGTTTTACTTTCCTCAACTAGTTCCTACACCCTGCAAGGTTCATGAGGTAGAGTCATCTGACATTTTACTAAGATTTAATGTAAATTAGAATCACACATGCTGCAAGGCAGATGGATGGGAGCCAATTATTTGGCTAGTGAGTGAGCCCAGCCAACTGTCCAGATACTTTCATCATAGCTTTGTACTTTCTCTACTTGTTGAATATTATGCATTCATTTATTTGTTCAGTATTTATTGAGCACCTAACGTGCCAGGCACTGCTGCTGCAGTCTTATAAACCAATTTTTAAATCTAAATTTAAATTTATAAGCTGATTTTTAAATTCTTTTTTGCAATTGTTATTTTTAAGTGTAGTTAATAGAACAAATTGCTATTGTTGATGATAAAAAACAAGCAAGACAAGTGAAAAAAGTGAGAGATTGCATTTTAGAAATGGCTTGATAAATTATTTCGGCCCCATATCAATAGAGCCAGTAAGGTGGTACCAAGCTGTAGACACAGAAGAGGGCTCCCCAAGTATCCAAATGCCAGACACATATTCCAGCCCCAATGGCCTGGATGCTTTTATATGGAATTGTTCACTTTTGCTTTAGTCCCCTCCATCAAGCTAAATAGACTTGGGGGAAAACTATGGGTGCTACACAAAGTGCCCTGGACTTAGAAGTAATAACCCTGATACTTAGTTTCACCTCTGACACTGCCTCCCTGAGTGATTTTGTTAGAGTCACTTCAGTTCTCTGTGCTTTGGTTTCCTCCACTTTAAAATTAGATAACAGTATCTATCCAACATATTGTATGATGCCTCTCTGTGCCTCAGTTTCCTAATCTGCAAAATTGATATAAGAATAATGCCTACCTCACAGGGTTGTTGTGAGGATTTGCCTAAGTATAATATTTGTACAGTGCCTGGCATATGAGTTCTCAATAAATGGTAGATATTACCATTATATTAGTATAGCTTTTTATTGAGGATCAAAGAACAAAGGACTGTCTGTTTGAACTGTGTGTATGGATGTTTGTTGTACACAAGCCCTTCCAGCACAGAGTCCACTAACACACACTACTGTAGTTACCTGTTCATCAGAATCCTCCACTAGTATCCCCACTAGTCCATGAACTTTTTGCTAGTAGTGATGGTGCCTTCTTAACCCTTGTACTCCTAGAATTATCTGATGCCTGACACCTCTTAAATGCTCCATGAAAGTATGACAAAGCTGATCCATTTAAGTGGGTGTACCTGGGATTGGGGTGGGGTAAGGGGTGATATGGGAGTGAAATTTGATCTTTTATAGTTCAATCATTTTGGAAGAAGAATCCATGGAAATGGGGGTGGGACTCCATTAACAGAGATTTTGTTGGTTTGCAGACTTACTGACTAAACCCTCCTTATCCACCTCCTCCAAACCTATGTTGGAAGTAGGATCTTAAGTGGGCTTAATGTGTTCAAAAGCTCTCCTTAATATTATTCTATATTAATGCTCTACAAAGATGGAATCAGTCATTTTCAGAGGTTTGGTTTTGCAGGTGGTTGGAAGAGCTACATTTGTCATTTCAGGTACCTGAAGATGCAAGGAATTATGGATGTAGATATTGCAGTGAGACACACACCTACACAAGATCAGAGCTCAGTGGAGCTGATAGTCTTGTGAGAGGGAAGGGGCATGGGTGAACCTACCCTGACTGTGGCCTAGAGGAAGCAGAGATCCAAGGAAGAAAGGGAGAAAAGGACAAATTTCAGCTACCACTTATTATCCAAAGAAACTAGGAAAATAAAAATAGATTAGGGAAGAATCATTCTACTTCTAACTTCAGGGTCTCTTCCCTTTTTAGGACTCTACCCCAAACCAACTCTGACAGCCTATCCGGGGCCCATGATGGCACCTGGGGAAAGCCTGAATCTCAGGTGCCAAGGGCCAATCTATGGCATGACCTTTGCTTTAATGAAGCTTGAAGACTTGGAGAAGTCCTTTTACCATAAGAAGCCAATAAAAAACGAGGCACACTTCTTCTTCCAGTCCCTGAAGAGCCAAGATTCTGGACATTACCTCTGTTTTTACTATGATGGGTCATACAGGGGTTCACTCCTTAGTGATATCCTGAAAATCTGGGTGACTGGTAAGAGAGGGGTATGCTATGGAACTTATGGTAGGGGCTAAGGATATAAAACTCCTTTTAGGCCCCCTGGAGAGCCTAGTCATGCAGCCAGGGATAACAGTGTTGAAAAGAGGAGTATTTGTGTAACTGGGCTTGGGTCAGTATTTACCAAGGGTAAACTCGGGGTGGGGGGAGTTAGACTGTATAGTTCTTTATATTTACATTTTGTCCTAGACTCTTTCCCCAAGACCCGGCTACTTGCTCAGCCCAGTCCTGTGGTCCAAATGGGTCAGAATGTGAGCCTGCGCTGTCAAGGACAAGTGGATGGAGTGGGGCTTGCACTCTATAAGAAAGGAGAAGACAAACCTCTTCACTTATTGGATGCCACCAGCATCAATGATACCAAATCATTCTTCCTGAACAATGTGACCTACAGTGATAGTGGCATCTATAGCTGCCACTATCTTCTCCCCTGGAAGACCTCGATTAAGATGGCAACACACAACTCTGTGGAGCTTGTGGTTGTAGGCAAGTGCTAACAACTGTTTTTATCACCAACCTATTTGTTTCTATCACCATTACAGTGTTCTAAGAAGGAGCTAGTGGCCCTTTGTACTCTCTTGGAGCTATGAGCCAAGGATAAACACATTATGAGGGTGGTGTAGAACTTTCTCCAAATCCTTTAGGGGCCTTCTCTCCCAGGTTTGTTCCTTAAGCCCTAACCTCTCAACATGGCCCAACCCCACTGCAACCCCAGGAAAAAAGTATTGTCCTTTAGTCCAGAAGAAGCTTACACATATGACTTCTTCCTCATTGAAGATAGAAACCATGAGTTTTAGAGCACCCAGGTGATAGCATAAGAATTCTAGTACATGGTCAAATTTTGAAGCCACTGATCAAGTGGAAATGGGAAGGAAGAGATAATCAAATGGGGAGCTTATAAACTTCTGGTGGGGAAGAGGGTGTTGAGTGCAAGGTTACTTCTAACTCTCATCTCTGGATTGGTTTCAGATAAGCCCCCTAAACCTACCTTATCAGCTTGGCCCAGCACTGTGTTCAAGCTAGGCAAGGCCATCACCCTTCAGTGCCGAGTATCTCATCCAGTACTTGAATTTTCTCTGGAATGGGAAGAAAAAGAAAAATTCCAAAAATTCTCAGCGGATGGTGACTTCATCATTACTAATGTTGAAGGGAAAGGCATAGGCACCTACAGCTGCAGCTATCGTGTAGAGGCACACCCTAACATCTGGTCTCATCGTAGTGAGCCTCTGAAGCTGATGGGGCCAGCAGGTGAGAGGATAACTATTCACAGGAACGCCCCTTCATACTTCTGGGATCTCAGAGCAGTGCCCAGAAAGATATGGAAAGGGGACTCGGGAACTTTGAAGTCAGGGCCCATGGATTTGGGCACCCTTCCCCTGGGGGTGGTCTAACAATCATTCAAAGGCAGAGAGCAGGAACTTCCAAAGTTCCCATGAAAAAGAAATTCACTTTTCCCTTACCTTCCCCCACAGAAGCACTCTCAGTAATCGGCTCCCCATTCCCCCCATGAATATATTCATTTACCTGTCCCTGTCTCCATCAAGGCCCCTGCTTCTGGTCTTCTCTGGTCACAGGCTTTCTCACCTGGAATTACGTTCTGAATGAAGCTATCAGGTTGTCCCTAATTGTGCAGCTTGTCGCCTTGCTGGTGGTAGTACTGTGGATAAGGTGGAAGTGTCGGAGACTCAGAATCAGGTAACTGTCTGGCCCCAGACCCTGTTTCCTGCCCAAGTTCAGTCCAGGCTCCCCAAGTCTCAGAAACTGGTTACACCCTATTTGAAACAAGGCACAGGAGCACACCTTATGTATCGCCCCCATCGTCTGGGTTTAGGAAACAAGACCTTCTCACTCTAGCTGTTTCTCTTTCACCTCACAGAGGGGTCATCGCCCAAGCCAGAGGGTGGAGAAATGCATAATTCTCAGAGGCTGGAGAAGCTATCAGAACCACATTCACTAACCCTACCCCTTCTGAGAGTGACCAACCCCCAAACCACCCTGTCCCTCTGCATGATTAATGTCTCTCTCTTTAACTTGATCTGAACTTTTTCTCTTAATAACAAGCCATGCTGCCTGTCTCCCAGGTTCTTATCCACTCCCACCTCAACTCTGCACCCTTACCCCTAACTCTCAAGGGCTAAAGAGCCTTGCGGCCCATCCTAGTTGCCTTAGAAACCTGTCTCTCTGCCACTCTGGCCTCCAAACACCTGTGCAGAGCATCCTGGGAATACAGTCTTAACCTGAATAGGCATCTGATGAGGCAATGGATGGAGCCAGGGAGTCAGACTGTCTCATCTGACCCTCAAAATGACAAGCCAAAAGATTCTCCTGCTACTTCCTTTGATCCTTCGGTGTCCTCTGGGCTATTCACCTCTCTCCTTGATCCCTGTGGCTTGTCTCTGGCTACTCCGCTTGAGAACGAGAAGAGAAATGACAGCTCCAGACCAGTGGGGGCATCACCTCCTGAATGCTTTGCTCTCTTCCTCTTCCCTCTGCTTCTGGCTGTACCCCTCTGCCACTGTGATCATAGACCTTTGTGTGTCTGGGAGTATTCAATACACAATGGATGATGACTATGATTATGTGTGTCTGTGTTTTCCGCTGGGATCTGCGGGGTAGAATGTTTGGGTACCAAGAGGGGGCGACACCAAAGGCTTCTGCAAAAACCACCACTCTTTGAGTTTTCCAAAAGTTTCAGTGAGGTTCAACTCTCCTTTGTCTCAAATTCTGTCCCGAGTCTCATGCACATAAAGATAACCCCCAAGCCAGGAGTTAGAAAAAAATGTAGCTTCATGTGCCCTGACCCCAGTCCAGGAGCATTGAATCAAAGAATAAGATCAGAAATCTGATTTCAGAGAAAACAGCTACAAAAGCATGTTTTCTTCACCAGGAAGGAGCTGGGGGCATCAGTGTTTTCTAAATAGAAAGTGTCAAATGGATTTTGGGTTAATATCATGTAATTCTACAGGACCCATACTCCAACACTGCTGCACTGTCATAATATGGGAGGGGGAGGGGAATCCCACTCTCTGACAAGCTTAGCTCAGCACTGACAGTCTTCTGGTAATTCATCACGGCTGCCTAGGCAACCCTTCCATAACAAAGGCAGGTGAGGCAGGTCGGTCTGAAGACCAATACTGCCATAATAACAACTGCTGCCAAACTTAAACTTGATGACACAGAAATACTCAAGGTCTCTCCCTCCACCCCACACCCACCACCCAGAGCTGCCGATCACACTGAGCTGCAGGAGTTCTGAGAACTACAGGTACAAAAGCATTTTCCCATTTGATATCTCAATTCCAGCAACAGTCTGATCAGAGGCCATGGGGAGCTGACATATGATATAGGCTGGGGTGAGGGAAAGGGGCAGGGGGGGCATCTGGGTCATGAAAGAGCAAGGGGTTTGTAGGTAGTTAGGCCCTCCAAAAGAAAAGTCATCGATGTCAGAAAAGATTATATCCCATTATCCTGGCCTTACCCAATCCCCATTGGGTAGTGAGCAAGCCAATGACATAAATTGCCGCCCCCTTCTCTCCGCCCTCCCCCTAATCCCAGCAACTCCTCTCATCTCTTTTCTGGTCTCGCTAGAGAAGCCTGGTTGCTGGGAACAGCTCAAGGGGTCACCATGCTCTTCATAATCACGGCCCTTCTCTGCTGTGGTGAGTACAAGGGGGTGGGGAAGGGGCCTGGGCAGAAGGCCGGGGTGAAGTCCTGTGGAGGAGGGGGCAGAGCCCTGGCAGCAGTTTCTTTTGCAGGACTGTGCAATGGGGTATTGACAGAAGAGACTGGTGAGTTTTTCCTGCTCCAGACTGGGACATTCCTCTCTGGAGATCCGAAATAACTACAGAGTGTCAGTGTCAGTGGCCAGGGAGTGACTGGTTGGGAGGGAAGGACAGCCAGGAAGGGGCACTTGCTAAAAGCTGCTGGCAAAATTCAGCCTCCAATTCTGCCTTTCTGCCTGCAAAATTTCCCCCAAGCTTCTGCACTTTTCTGAGGCTCCTCTGACACATCAGATTCCCCCTTCCCCAGCACCTGAGGAAGAAAGGAAGGAAGGGAGGAAGGAAAGGATTCGGTTTGGGGTCGAAAGGGGAGGTGGGCAGTGTGATCTGGGCAGGGGGTTCAAGGGCAAGGAAAGGAAGGAGGGAGGATGGCTTCATTAACTCTGCTGTTTCTAGAAATAATCATGCCAACCCCTAAGCCTGAGCTGTGGGCAGAGACAAACTTCCCTCTGGCCCCGTGGAAGAACTTAACCCTCTGGTGCAGAAGCCCTTCTGGCTCAACTAAGGAGTTTGTGTTGCTGAAGGACGGGACTGGGTGGATTGCAACTCGCCCGGCCTCAGAGCAGGTCCGGGCTGCTTTCCCCCTTGGCGCCCTGACCCAGAGCCACACCGGGAGTTACCACTGCCATTCATGGGAGGAAATGGCTGTGTCGGAGCCTAGTGAGGCGCTTGAACTGGTGGGAACAGGTAAGAAAAGGCAAAGGATCCCCCTGGAGTGATCCCCAGTGACCCTGGGACTCTTGTGCTGCAGGGAGGAGAGGAGGGGCCCTGGGATGGGGGAGGGGTGGGGAAGAGAGTGAGAGGAGCCTGACAGGAAGAGCCTAGGGCCAGCCCAGGATGGATTTCTTTTTTGCTGACAAAGTGACTCTGAGTGTCCCATCTGAGCACTTCCAAACTTCTGACTCCTTTCCCACTCCATTTTGTTTTCCAGACATCCTCCCCAAACCTGTCATTTCTGCTGCTCCCCCAGTTCGGGGCCGGGAACTGCAAATCCGATGCAAAGGATGGCTGGCAGGCATGAGTTTTGCTCTGTATAAGGAGGGAGAACAGGAACCTGTCCAGCAACTTGGTGCCGTTGGGAGAGAAGCCTTCTTTACAATCCAAAGAATGGAGGATAAAGACGAAGGCAATTATAGCTGCCGCATGCACACTGAAAAGCGCCCCTTTAAGTGGTCTGAGCCCAGTGAGCCCCTGGAGCTTGTCATAAAAGGTAGAGCTGAAAAGGGTGTGTGAGGGAGGAGGGGGAGGCAAAGCCTCTCCCCAGGGCAAACTTTCCTGCTGGTCCCAGGAGCCTGTGTCCAATCTTAGAGCTAGGCAGGCGTGGCGCTGGGAGTGCCAGGGCCTCTGGCTGCATGATATTAATAGCCATAATCGTTATTAATAGCTTGGGTTTGTGGAGGGTGATTTAATTTTTCTAATTATTTTCCCATCAATTATCTCATTTAACTGTAGAGCAAATCTTCAAGGGAGGTGGAGCAGCTACTATTTCCCCCTCTGGTCCAAATAGGCAAACTGAGGCTCAGAGAACCAGCAAAGCCCCAGTGAAAATTCGTACTTTTCACTAGTGTCCATTGCCTGCCCCATTGAAAGTGAGGACTCATATGGAGGCAATGAGACATGGGGGTGATGGATCCCTGAGTAATATTTGAGGGGGGCAGGTACTAGGGATACTAGGGATTGAACCCAAGGGCACTTTCCCACTAAGCCACACACCCCCAGCCCTTCATATATATATAATTTTAAAAATTTGAGACAGGGTCTTGCTAAGTTGATCAAGGCCTTGCTAAGTTGCTGGGGTTGGCCTCAAACTTTCCAACCTCCTGCCTCAACCTCCTGAGATTACAGGTGTTTATCATTGCACTCGCCTATGTAAGATTTTTAAATGCACCTATTTCTGAATTAACACATAATTGAAAACAGAGAAGCTTCCTAGAATCAATATTTGCTTTTTTTCTTAATTCAGTTTTGTGTTATTTGTGTGTGTGTGTGTTTTCTAGAAATGTACTCCAAGCCCTTCTTCAAGACATTGACCAGCCCTGTGGTCACCCCTGGTGCCCGAGTGACTTTCAACTGCTCCACCCCTCACCAGCACATGACCTTTATTCTTTACAAAGATGGCAATGAAATAGCAGCCAGTGACCGGTCTTGGGCAAATCCAGGGGCCAATACAGCTAACTTTGTGATCGATTCAGTGGGCATTGGTGATGGAGGGAACTACAGTTGCCGCTATTATGACTTTGCTATTTGGTCTGAGCCTAGTGACCCTGTGGAGCTGGTGGTGACAGGTTAGGAAGGGGGAAATCCTGGTGGATGTGGTGCTCACCCTAGGACAGTGAAGTGGAAGGCCTGTCAGTGGGAGAGGAAGAAATGTTCCTTCTAAAAGACACTAAGTGCTTAGGACAGCGCCTGGCACATGGTGAACAGTCCATGTGGGACAGCTGCTCATGTTATTACAGGAAGGAGAGACAAAGGAGAGGGGAGAGGCAAATAATTCACTTCTGAGGAAAGAAGTGAGGCAGATGGGGATGTTCAATCCTAGAGTCAAGCTCAAGTTGTCCTATTTCTAAAATCTTTTTGTGGCTTGGCCTTGAGCATTAGGTTCAATGTCCACTTTTTCTTTAGCTGGGCTTGTCAGAGATTGGTGGGCTGGATGGCCTTAAGAGAACAGAAGACCTTGAAACGTCAGCTGCATGTTAGGCAGCCATTGCAAATGATAGTTTTCAAAGGCTGTTTAACGTCATAGGAAAATGTTTACAATATAAAATTAAATGAAAAATATCAGAATACCCAACTGTGAAGACAGTGGAATTCCATTTATGTAAATACTTATAGCTACATGGACATGGGCATATCTGGAAAAAAATAAATGGAAAATATATAAATAATTATCTTTGAGTTGGTAGAATTGTATTTTCTTCATTAGGTAACATTGTTTCTTATGATAACGCTATAAAAGCTATTTTCACAGCACAGTGGGTGGGCTTCTCTCATGTTGTGATCTCTTTAATTTCAGAATTCTACCCCAAACCTACTCTCCTGGCACAGCCAGGACCTGTGGTACTTCCCGGGAAGAATGTGACCTTGCGCTGCCAAGGGATTTTCCAGGGCATGAGGTTTGCCCTTTTGCAGGAGGGAACCCAGGCTCCCATGCAGTTCCAGAGTGCCTCTGGCAACTCAGCTGATTTCCTCCTCCACACTGTCAGCACAGAGGACTCTGGAAACTACAGCTGTATTTACTATGAGACAACCATGTCCAACAGGGGCTCATATCTCAGTATGCCTCTTATGATCTGGGTGACTGGTAAGGACAAACAAGATATGGGACTGGGATAGAGATAATTAGAGCACAAGTTAAAGAGGGTACTCCTTTCTGAAAGGTTAGACTAAGCCTTGAGGGGAACAACTATATCCAGGGAAAAGATAAAGGGTTAATTCAGGGAGGGACAAGTTGCCATACTCACCACAATCCACCTTTATTCTCTTTCTAGACACATTCCCCAAACCATGGCTGTTTGCTGTGCCCAGTTCTGTGGTCGCCATTGGGCAGAATGTTACTCTCTGGTGCCAAGGTCCTGTCCATGGAGTAGGGTACATTCTGCACAAAGAAGTTGGACCCACTTCAATGCAGCTCTGGGGATCCACCAGTAACGATGGGGCATTTCCCATCACCAATATATCTGGTGCTAGCCTAGGGCATTACAGCTGTTACTACCACCCTGACTGGACCAGCTCTATCAAGATACAGCCTAGCAACACCCTGGAACTCATAGTCACAGGTATGGGATGGTGCTCTGAAACATGCAGGGGAGTGTAAACAGGAGGGAATATACTGGTTCATGGGAGATGGTTTACAAAGAGCTGGAGGAAAGGCAATCAATAATCTTTCCTTTTTATCAGAGAATCCAGGGGTGATGCACTGGATAGTGTCCTCTTGTCTCTGACCAAGCATTAATCTTTTCCAGGCTTGCTCCCCAAACCCAGCCTCTTAGTCCAGCCTGGTCCCATGGTGGCCCCCGGAGAAAATATCACTCTTCAATGTCAAGGGGAACTGCCAGACTCAACATTTGTCCTACTGAAGGAAGGGTCTCAAGAGCCCTTAGAGCAACAGAGGCCAAATGGGTACAGGGCTGATTTCTGGATGCCAGTGGTGAGAGGTGAAGATTCTGGGATCTATAGCTGTGTTTATTATTTGGACTCTGCTCCCCTTGCTGCTTCAAATCACAGTGACTCCCTGGAGATCTGGGTGACCGGTAAGGTCCTGGATACTTAAGCAAGCTGTTAGATTGTGTAGCTTTAGCAGTTCACAGAGGGTCGGGCTGAGTTTGGGATCAATTCTCTGAATTCTGTGTTCTTTTTGGTTGCAGATAAACCTCCTAAACCCTCTCTGGCAGCCTGGCCCAGCACTGTGTTCCAGCTAGGGAAGGACATCACCCTTCAGTGCCGAGGCCCCCTGCCGGGTGTCGAATTTGTCCTGGAACAAGAGGGAGAGGAAGCACCTCAGCAATTCTCAGAGGATGGTGACTTTATCATCAACAACATGGAAGGAAAAGGCATTGGGAACTATAGCTGCAGCTACCGCCTCCAGGCCTTCCCTGATATCTGGTCTGAGCCTAGTGATTCCCTGGAGCTGGTGGGAGCAGCAGGTGAGTGCATAATCCCTCTCTAAGGGTCCTGGCCTGACACACCTGAGATCTCAGGGACAGCCCCTCTAGAGACAATCCAAATCCAAGAGGAGGGACTTGAGATTTGGAAACCTCAAATGTCATCTTTCTCCTAAGGATGGTGATGAGGTGAGATATCAGTTCAGGACTCCTTCAAGGCCTCTTACCCACCAGGAAAGGAGAGCTATCTTCCTTAGTGGCATATGTGCCACCACTGATCACCCCTTCTGCCCACCCTTCCCATGTGGCTCTGGAGGAGGCTAGAGTGAGGGGATAGCAGGAGATCCAGGGGGAACATACACTTGCTAACCTCCACGGCCTTTGATTCTGCTCTTTTATATACACCAGGACCTGCTGCTCAAGAATGCACCGTGGGTAACATTGTCCGAAGTAGCCTGATTGTGGTGGTTGTGGTAGCCTTGGGGGTGGTGCTAGCCATAGAGTGGAAAAAGTGGCCTCGACTCCGAACCAGGTAAGTGCTCATCTCAGGCTCCTTCTGGATGCTGAGAGCTGCTGGACAATGATCCAAATACTCCTCCAGGATCTGAGCTGTACCATGTGACTTGGTTTCAGGCTCATTGTTCTGAATCTTCCCTTGCTCATGTCGTTTTCTTTACACAGGGGCTCGGAGACAGATGGAAGAGATCAGACTATAGTCCTTGAAGAGTGTAACCAAGAAGGAGAACCAGACACCACTACTAACTCTCCCTCCTCAACCTCTCAGGGAATCTCAGTGGAACTTCCAGTCCCCATATAATAATCCCCTTTACAAGAGCTTTCCTCTCCTTTCCTTTACCCTCAGAGACCTGGAAATCCAGCTGATTACCCTGAGTGTCAACCCTATCTACTGCTCCTTGACCTCTAATCACCTGAGCTGGGTGAAGGGGATTCTGGGAGTTGCAAGCTCTACCAGGATGAGATGTTTCCCAAAGAGAGGTTCCTTACCCCTATAACTCCTCACTGTACTGATTCACTGGTGCATGGAATTCTATTAAAATGTATTCTTCTGAATAAAGAGAGTATTCACTATATAACTGCAAAAACTATGGCAATAGTCTTCTATTGGTATGTTGCCCACTTATAACTTAGCAGAAACGGTGAATTGGAACTGATCTCCATGGCAGAAAAAGAAGACATAGGGCTACAAGTACAGAAAAAGGAGTATAAGGATGGGTGGGGAACAGGGGGGCAGCTCCACAACTCAGTTTGGTTTGACATGTGGTCACCAAAAGGAGTATTCTTCTGTCCTTCCATCCGGTTATTGAATGAATGAATGAATGAATGAATGAATGAATGAATGGCAATGTTCTGTCCAAGTTGAGCCTGAAGACAAACTCTAATATTACATTGTATTCACCATGTTAGAACACCTGCTTTCACACAGCAGGGTTGGCTCTCTGTAGAACTTTGAAACTGTGCTTTGTGATACTTAGTAGCAATTATAGGGTATATATTAATTCCCTTTTAATAAAGTATGAACAATTGATAAAAGCCAATACTCTAAAGACAGCCCCAGTTCCCTAAAGGTGTGCACTTCTAGTGGTGGGAACTCAGGGAGTAAGGAAGCAGGTGACATGGGTAGTTTGTTGTTTTGGGGTTTTTTTGGGGGGCGCGGTACCAGGGATTGAACTCAGGGGCATTCAACCACTGAGCCCTAGATTTAGCCCTGTTTTGCATTTTATTAGAGACAGGGTCTCACTCAATTGCTTAGTGCCTCACTAAATTGCTGAAGCTGGCTTTGAACTCCCACCTCTGCCTCCAGAGCTGCTGGGATTATGGCCATGCACCAATATGCTCGGCTTGGGAGTTTTTTTTGTTTGTTTGTTTTAGTTTTTTGTGTTTGTGTATGGGAGATTGAACCCAGATGGGCTTAACCACTGAGAAACATACCTGGCCCTTTAAAAAATATTTTTAAATTTAAAGATAGGGTTGCTTAGGGCCTCGCTAAGTTACTGAGGCTCCCCTTGAACTGCCTCAGCATCCCTAGCTGCTGGAATTACAGGTGTGTGCCACCATGCCTGGCTGACGTGTAGTTTGGAGTGGGAGAACACCTAATGTTCCTTCCAGGACCCCAAATGGGAGCTGGCTGTCATTCTTGGACACTAACCTCTCTCTCTGGATCAGCATGTTCTTTACCCCATGAGTGGAAATTCAGTACACATTAGGTGGGTTGAACTGGGGTAGGAGGCTTACCTAGTTCCTTGAACCTTGTTCAAGACCTCAGAAGAATTGATCTATGGGACCTAGAGGAGGTCATGACCCCTTCAAACATGACCCTAAAGTTCCTTGCCTCTCAACACTGTTTAATTCTAAGCAAACACTGTTCACTAGAACAATGTGCAAGGGTTCTGCACACAGTGCGTTATTTATCCTTGGTTACAATAAAGTTTAAAAAGTAGCTCCTATATTCTTGCATTAGGAAGCTTATTTACCCAGCAAGTTAATGAAAAAATTGCATCCCATTTCCCTTAATCCTTACAGAATGAAACACTCTGAGTATTATAGACTAATTTGTATTAAGCTTTTTGGAATGTAGAAGTACAAAGTCCTACTCTGATTTCCATTTTATGAGATTCTATTAGTCGCTTATACTAATTTCTTATAGCAGTTCTAAAAATTGCATTTCAAAGTGCTTTTACATTTGAATTTAGCCAAGCCTAATTGTTGCTTTGTGCTGAACAGCACTCTCTGCCCTCAAACTCTGCATCCCTAACTCTCAATCAAGCCGTACATTTTGAACACTGGAAGGAGGCCCGTCCTTGGTCCTTGGTTTTAGGATAAAAGTCCTTTGATCAGGTCGGATTCTGTTTTCTGATCTTCGGGTGTTTCAAAGTGTATATTGTCAAGGCTAGTGAGAGGGCCGTGCAAGTTAGGAAGTGATCTCTCGGTTGTTTTAGCTGTTCACCAAGGGAAAAAGAAATGGGAAGAAACCATGGGAGAGCCAAGGAGTAAAGTTTAGAGAAATCTCCTAGTCAGAAAAGCAGGATAAAGGAAAGACAAACATGACAGAAAAAGACACTTGTGAAATCCAGACATTGAACCTGGGGTCTTTTGTGTCAAAGAGGGTCAAACAGAGATACTCGGGCAATCAGAGAAAAGTTTGATAAACCTTTCAGAGAAAAACAAATAGAAATATTGTAACACTGAAATGTTAGCTGGCTTTCTGAAAAAGCCACTCTTGTGTATCGTCCTTTCACTTACAGAACCAAGTTCTATATGTATTAGAAGGAAACAAACAGTTGTCAATTAACTGTGAAATACTTAAAGAATGGCTTTGGGATTTAACTTCCTACTTGCTGTCAGAGCCATCTCAATGAATTAAGTATCTATTTATAATGCAGTTGTCGTCACAAACCATCTCAATGAATTAAATATCTATTTATAATGCAAACGTAGCTTGTTGCTGACAATTCTCCACATGGTATGTTTTTTCAACCCGGTTGCCATGGGAATCAGTCCCTTTACCCCTGGCTGGCCTCTAATCATCAGCCCAGCATCAGGTAATTTCTGGGAAATGGAATCTCAATTAGGGTGGAATGAACCTATGACAGGAGAATTTGTTTCTGGAACTCCAAAAAGAAACATCAAAGGGAGACTTCTCCTAAATTTTAGAACACAAATATAAATTTCCACGCCTTTGGCTTCAACATCTCAGAGCTATGAAGATTGTCAAAGCAGTGTGGCTCAATTCCCCATCCAGTACAGGATCTTCTTTATAGCAAAGCTGATAGGTAGCTTCTTCTTGTACACCTCCAGGGACAGGGAGCTCACCACATTATGATCCTTGCAAATCTCAAATTGTTCTATTGATCCTTTATCTGCCTTTGTGTGTTCCCTCCTTACTCACTGGCTCCAGTTTTGCCACAAGTTGCAACCCAGAGCAAATCTGCTTCCTACAAAGTTTGGAAAGTGGAGATTTCCCTTCCATTTGATGACACACACTGGTGCTATCAGAGTTTGGTGAACATTCATTTGCAAATGCATTTATGTTGTCAACTATCAATAATCCAAGCTCCAGAGATGGCAGAATTCATGCCTACCCCACTCCTGTTAGATTCAACCAGAGTAGTACTTTTGTCCATTTTATTTATTTTTTTTAAAAAGGGGTAATATACACTTCTTTTTTTTTAAAGAGTGAGAGAGAGAGTGAGAAAGAGAGAGAGAATTTCAATATTTATTTTTTAGTATTTGGCAGACACAACATCTTTGTCTGTATGTGGTGCTGAGGATCGAACCTGGGCCGCACGCATGCCAGGTGAGCGCGCTACCGCTTGAGCCACATCCCCAGCCCTTTTGTCCATTTTATATATGTTTATTCTACAAATATTTTTTGGTTGCCTTCTATATGGCAGACACTTTTGTGAACACTGTATAAAATAGTGAGCAAAAGAAATGACAACTCCTGCCCTTCTAGTGTGGGAAACAAATAATTAATATAATTGTTAAAAAAATACGGAATATATATGGTAACAAATGCTATTTGGAAAAACTGAGCATGAAAGAGAGATACACACATTTTGTAAGTAAATTGTCACAATTTTCAAAGGGTGGTTGAGAAGACCTCACTGAGAAGGTGACATTTGAGTTATGGTTTAAGGGATGTGAAGGAACAAGTTGTGCAGATATCTAGGCAAAGTGGGTTCTGGCCAGAAGTCACAGCAGGTGCAAAAGCCTTGAGACAGGACAACGCCTGGCTGCTCTGTGGAGCTGCAAGTGGGCTGGCATGGCCCGGAGCAGAGTAAGCAAGGAGGAGAGTTAGAAGGAGATGAAGTCTGAGAGGTAATGGGAGCTGAGCCAAGAAAGCCCTTGGAGGTCTTTGTAAGGACTTTGACTTACATGCTGATTGAAATAGGAAGCCACTGGAGTTATATTTAAATCGGGCCATGCAGATTTGTCTGTGGAGAAAGAACAGACTGAGGCGTTAAGGGTGGAAACAGAGATGTGCTAGGAGGTGATTACAACAATCCTGGCAAGAAAGGCTGTGTGAGGCCAGGACGGTAGCCGAAGAAGCAATGAGAAATGGCAGGATTATTGCTATAATTTGAGGAAAGAAACAACAGCATTCACTGACAGATTGGTATAGGATATGTTCTGTATCATGTCCAGTAGAAAAAAAAATTGCTTCAATTATTTCTTTAGTGTTTCCCTCCCTGGATTATTTTCATCTCATTCTCATAAAAGAGTTTTCCAATCCCTCCCACCGCAGGTCACCACTCCTGAGTAGTTTGTCATTGTCCATCCAGAAACATTGTAAGCAGAATACAGTCCCATATATCTTTAGCAATATGACCAGCACAGTATAGAGAACAGTGAAATCATTACTTTGTGGCATCTCAACTAACCATTTTTACTAATGCCATCTAGAATTACATTAGTCCTCGGGCAGCCAAATCACACTGTTGGCTCATAGGAAACTTGTGGTCAACTAAAACCCACAGCTCTTTTTCACACAAGCTCTTGCCAATTCAATTCCTCCTTGTCTTTTACTACTGCAAGTGATGTGTTATTTTTCAATTATGTTTTTTAACGAAAATGTAAGATTTGGCATGTTTTCCTGTTAAGATTTGTCTTCTAGGTCCCAGCTTACAAAAGTCATATATTACCACTTACTGAGCCCATTTTTATATGTCACACCTATAGATAATATCTCATTTACTCCTAACAACAACCCTGCGTGAGACTCCTTATTATTTTCCATGTTTTACACATGAGGAAACAGAGGCTCCAAGAGGTTAAATCCTAAGGCCAACCAGCTCCCAGATAAAGGCACAGCCAGAAGTAAAATTCAATTTTGCCTGCTTCCAAGCTGGAACTCTCAGATGAACAGTATCTGCAACATAGTAGATATATAGTACGTATTTACTAAATTGACCACATTCCTACCAGGTTCTTTTATTTATTTTATTAAGCAAAACACATATTCAGTTAATATTTGTTAGGCTTTGTTCAAGAGCTTTAAATTTATTAATCCTAACAACCAATCTATGAGATAGGTACTAACATTATTCACACTTCTTACAAAAGAGAAAAAGGAGG